AGCACCAGCACCGGCATCAGCACCGGCATCGGTGGCGGCGGCAGTGGCAGTGGCAGCCGCGATAATGGGGGTGCCTCGTCTCTCGGGATTGATGGCGAGGGTGAGGATGGAGTGACTGGCTCAAAGAAGCGAAAGCGAGAGGATCACGAGGAAGATGGAGATGAGGGTGAAGACAGTGACGATTCGGCACACGACTGGAGTGATGACGATGTAGCTATCAAGGTCGAGAGGCATGATGCCACGCCGCGACCCTTCATGCTCAGCGTCTACCAGGAATCGACGCAGCAGCAGCGTATAGATGATGGCGATAACCACACTCATCTGCCACCACCGTCATCATCATCATCACCATTAGCGCCATCGGCACAACAGCAACAAGACCAACCTCCGTCCTCCGCGCAACCACTATCATTAGCACCACCACCACCACCACCACCACCACCTCGGTCATTATCAGCAGCACAACCAGAACCAACACCGCCACCTTCCTCCTACTTCGACCAGTTCCGAGACTTCAAGCCCGACGTCTCGGCGCCCTTCGACGACGAGTTCGCCCGGTGCATGTCGTCGCAGGGCGTGGCGCCGCGCACGGCCGAGTACCGGCGGCAGCGGACGCGGGCGATCGCGCACGAGATCAAGTTCCACTACTCGCAATCCCAACCCCCACCATCTCAATCGCAACCACAACCCCAGGCCCAACCTCAAGCTGGTGATGGCAGCCACCATCAGCAGCAGCAAGATAACGACAGCAACGATGATCCCTCGCCGCCACCCGTCGTATCCCTATTTGCTTTCGGAGCAGCAGCAGCAGCAGCAGCCGAGCCAGACGCCGTCAAGAAGGAGGAGGAGGAGGAAGAAACGGAGGAAGACAAAGAGGCGAAAGAAAAGGCCCACCGGCTACAGCTCTACCAAAACCTGTGCCGCGCGGCGCGCCTGCCGACCTACGACACCCTGGGCGAGTGCGAGGCGGCGCTGCGGGGCGTGCTGGTCAATATCGTGGACTACATCGACGCGGCGCGGGCGGGGCGCCCCCACGTGCACGTCTGGGACGACTTCGACGCCTTCTGCAACTACACGCTCGGCGGCGACGGGAGCCGGTGCATGGACCGCGAGGAGGCGAAGCGTATCGAGGGCGGGTTTCTGACCGTGCTGTTGCGGAAGGTTACTGGGGGTGGGGGTGGGAGGAAGAAAAGGGGGAGGAAGAGGAGGAGGGGAGGGGGAGGGGGTGGGGGAAATCAAGGCGTGGTTTTTTGTTTGTGAGTTGGTGTCTAGATGAATGGGTGGCTGGGTGGATGAATGGCTGCTTATCTAGTTGGGCTGCTGTGTTGCTTTCGGCGTAAGTCAGGGGAATCCTATTCTAGATTCCGAGGAGCTCATTCCGAGTCGGGATTCTTTGCATTTGTTAGGGTACAAAGTTAAGGGGATATGTGGATCCATAGGATCTCATATGCACTAGTGGGTAGTTTTACATCTATAAAGAGCCGTTCCTCCCCCCATAGCTTCCAAATGGCCCGAGAGTTATTCTAGTTCCGTATTGCCTCCTACCTAGCAGCTTCCTATCACTCGGATGTGATAAACCCCTGGCAACGTTTGCTCGATCTGAACTGTAGTCAGCTTCTGGGAAGCTAGTGCATGGAATGGTTGTTACAACTATGTGTTAGGAAACGAACTATGGGTAGTGGATACGTAACAGCATGATGTACGCAGATCCATCTATTAGACTCTACGTTTCATTCACTGTGGCTCTACATGAAAGCATCTAGTCGAACCATGTGCTTTACTTACTGTGTAGCAAAATCTAATAGGAGAAGATGTAATACAGCTTGCTCATGGTAACTAAGTATATGTCCCTTGTAAATATGAGTAAATCACACGGAGCTGTTATAATCTCTGGTTCTTTTATCCAAGTCGAGTATCACCAAGGAGCTGTCGGTATAGCTTCTTGTTTACGTGGTTTACGACTCTGGGACCCTTTGCGAGAACCATTTAAAACGGTAAATAGGGGCAAGAAAGGCAAAAAGAAAAACATACAACACCAGGGATTCGCTGGTCGTCACCGACCCAACTACTGATCTGGCGGTATCTGGTTTATCTAGGGGAGAGCGGACGGGATCCCGAGTTCTCCAGATCCTATGGTCGTATGTGTTAGACTTTGCCGTTGTTGTGACTTATATCGGCTGGTTGGTGTTGAAGGCGGCTATGTGCCAAGGTCTGATCTGATGCCTGACCACGAAGGATGGAACTCTCTAGAATCGACATTCATCTGGATCGACTGAATGAATAATGTCATAATTCATATACTAGAGGAATCTCGAATCATGCTTTCTTTATGAAACACATTTCTCATGTCATAGCTCAAGGTGGTGCTTGTTGCCCAACACCCTCAGCAGGAAATCATCTAAGGCTTTACTTCCCCTATCTGTAAGGCGTGCCCCTAAGCACTATCTTGACTGGACTCATTTCTATTTCTTTCACAGCCCAGCACCCTTAGTCTGTAGCTCTATATAGGCTTCTAGTTTCACTACTGTAAATTTTAGGAAGTCGACTGGTTAACTTGGCCGCCAGCCCGAGCGTTATTTAGTATTAAGTTCTACACTTACCAGTGACACCTGATCCAGGTTTAAACTTTCGTATATATCTTACGCCTTGGTAAAACCACGGAGCGAATTTAATGAGTTGATGAAGCTTAACTCAAATTCGCTTTCGGGCTCTTCGGGTCGATCCTTGGAATAGTCTCTCTGAAACCTATTGCCTATAAATACTCAAGCAATTCACCCACCCCAGTCCACCCCTCCCTCCATCTTCCCCGGATTTCACTACCTTATCCTCCAAACTCACTTTCTCCATCTAAAGGATACTTACTATGCGCAGCCATATATCATCGCAGGTGCACCAATCTAGACCTAGGCGGATTTACCACCGTAATCTTTCATTCCATACTCCGATATGGCCATGTTTGTCAATCCACCCTACGAAGAGATAACGGTGCCGGTCGAGGGCAAGACCGTCGTCGTCCCGCTGCTGCAGTTCAGCGAGCCCCGGACCTTCAAGTACTCGATGGCGTTCGCGCGAATGCTCGCGCCTCAGGCCATCCTCGCGCAGCAGTACCACTCCATCCACCCCAACGGCAAGGACCCCGTCTCCTGCCCCATCTGTTTGATCGATGGTGAACTCTGCCGTATGACGCCTCTGCCCTGCGGCCACCGCTTCCACCGCGACTGCATCCAGAAGTGGTTCAAGGCCCAGGCGAAGCCGCCCAGACGTTCGCCCTCCTGCCCCACGTGCCGCCGATCTAGTGAGTTGAGACTTTTCCCGCGTTACCTTATTTCGTGGTCTAGAATGTTTTGCGCGTGCCTTTTTGTGATTTCATTTCCTTTCATTTCCTTTGTTTTCCCTTTTTGACGAAGCGCCCTCACTCCTACAACAGGTCTCGAGAAGGGTGATTCGTCATGGTATCTCAGTAGTTGTGTAGCTAACTTCAGACGTGGAACATATAGTGCTCTACAAGTGCGGCCACCCCGTCGACATCGACGCGATCCGGTCCGACGAGCTCTGGCACCCGGACGAGCTGCGGTACAACTGCCTCGTTTCGCCGAAGCGGCACAGGCGCGCGGTATCGCCTCCTCCTCCCCGCCCCGCCGAGGAGCGGAGAGCACCGAGGAAGGCGGGCCACAGCATCCGGGCCGCGCACATGATGGGCGAGCGCCCGCTCGGCTGGATCATCGCGTGGGCCCTCGACGGCCTCGAGATGCCGTCGCCGGCCGGCATCCCGACGGAGGGCCGCTGCCCGTCCGCCATGATCAGCAGCGCGCACTGGGGCGAGCACCTGTCGCTGATGCTGGGCTACCTGCGCCGGCTGGCCGGCTCGCGTCTGGCGGAGCGCAAGCTCGAGGCGTTTTGGGCGTCGTTCCAGGCCCTCGCCGACGCGCTCGGCGCCATGCAGCGCTGCGAGGGCGAGGATAACGAGGATGAGGATGAGGATGGCGACGACGAAGACGGCGACAGTGAGAACGAGCACCGCGCCACATCCTACTACGCCCCCTGCCCGTCCACGACGCGGATGTGGGCGGCGCGGCTGGCCTGGAAGAAGGCCTTCGACAAGGCCCAGCGCCACCTCGAGTACTTCCTGACCCTGGAGGAGGTGCTCGATGCCGGCAAGAGGCTGTACTCGACGATCGACGTCAACTCGCACACCGCGACCTACCTGCCCTGGCTGTGGCGCTATCGCTGCCGCTGTCTGGGCCTGCCCGACAAGAAGCCCCCGCGTGACGTCCCTCGTCTCAAGGCCTGCGGGCGCAAGGTCGTGAAGTTGCTTAATCGGTGGGCGGAACACTACGAAGCCGCCATCCCAGCCGTGCGTTTCTAAGAAAAGAAAAGAAAAGAAAAGGGTTATTTGTTTGCTGGAAACGCTGTCGCAAGTGCTTGGATGTAGTGCCGCCTGTTTGGGAGCTGCCTCGAAGATAAATGGCGGGAGAGCTTGATGTTTTGTATGTGACTATGTCGTTGGACGGCATGCTGTACAGCCTTGGATTTTTGGGATGGCGTTAGATATGGTATGGGCGATGTATCATGGGAGTTACTCAAGGCACTTTCGAGAGATGTTACAGCGGCAAGCATTGCCTCCAGCCATCAATTGACCAAGGAATTATTTGTTATATATACCCTAGTCCCGGAAGGTCATGTTGTTGACCTTCTAGCGATAGTACGATTTGGAACTGTTGATGCCGGAAGTGTTCCTTGGTGAGATATATTGGACTGCCCACTCACCTCAAAACCAGATTCGCCCATCTATTCTACACAGCCAAAGTTCAAACTGGAAGTAACTAGCCAGTCTCGGCTTCAGATGGTAATACTCAATGGAACTATAAATAACCACCCTGCTTATTAACGAAGGATTCCTTGGGACGGGAACCATAGGTAGCTACGCCCGAAAACCACGGAAGCAAGACATAGACATTAACAAAGAAAACAAAAAAAAAAAAAAAACTTGACGCGTGTAATGCCCACTACTGGAGTCGAACCAGTTATTTCCGCATACCCAGATAGCCGGTAACTATACTAGTGCGACGCCGTACCGTCTGGCCCAGCGGGCTTCGTGTTTAGCTCTTGAGCCATTTGCGTCTGTGGTGGAGCTCGCGGAAGAAACTTTTGCTTAAAGCTGCATATACAGGATATCCACAGTTGGACGGGCCGAGCCGTCATCTTATCACGGAATTGGGTATTGCTCAATATCGGTGGTGGGAAACGCGAGTGATCTAGCTAGGTCGAATGTTACTTCGACTATCGTAAAGTATAGTATGGAGGGTTTAACGCCGATTTGCAAGCTGGGGTAGAACTATGATGTGCCAATGTCTTCAAGTCTCGTACATGTTCAGAACAAGGATTAGTGCAGATGACCCCTAATCAATACAATCCGGTGGTTCTCGAGACTGGGGGTGAGATACTTGGTAGGCCTTCCTCAGCCCTTATGGCCTTGATTGCAAGATTCTGGGGGACTCCAACATGGACGAGAATGTGAATGTGAAGTGCAAGTGGACCAAAGCTGGCTTTCGCCTTACTATTCTACCTAAGTTAAAGAGTTTATAGATGAGAGTGGTTTGTTATCCTCACTGCCCACTAGAAAATTGCATGCCCCCTAAGTTAACTAATCATCCGAGCGCTTCACGCGAACCGACTTGAACCTGTCCAGCGACAGCGCGGACTTGCGCTGGTCTAGCTTCTTGACCACGGCGCCGAGGATCACCTTCAGCAAGTCGTCCGAGGAGAGCGACCCGGGCTTGCCGCTCCACGTCGTGGTGTCGACGATGTCGCGCGTGCGGTTCTCCTTGTGCAGCTCGTCGTCCAGGTAGTCGAACTGCTGCTGGACGGCGGCGTCGGGGCGGATGTTGAACAGCTGGATGCCGACCTGGTGCTCGGGCATCTTGAGGTCGTCGAGCATGCGGGCGACGTTGATGAGCGGGGCGCGGACGTCGTCCTCGAACACGCCCGCCGTGATGACGATCAGGTTGAGCGCCGCGTTCTCGTCGTCCGCCTTGAGCTTGTCGCAGTACCAGTTGAGGATCTTGGCCAGGCGCGCGCCCAGCAGGCACCGGCCGCCCGGCTTCACCTTGCCGAAGATGGCCTCGGCCGTCTTGCGGTCCTTCTTGGCCTCGGGCCCGCCGATGCCGCGGTACCCCGACCGGCGCACCGACAGGTGCGGGATCAGGCTCTTGGGCCGGTGGTTCAGGAAGTAGATGTCGATGCCGTCCGGGTCGTGCTTGGCGCAGACCGCGCTGAGCGTCCCGAGGAGCTGCCCCACGTCGTTCCAGTACGGCGCCATGTGCGCCGAATCGTCGACGATGAACATGGTGTCGAAGCAGCGCAGGAACCCCAGCGTCTCGTCGTAGTTGCTCACGTCGATCCCGGCCCCGGCCTCGTCGTCATCTGCCGGCGTGAACGTCGGCCACGCTTCCTCTTCCTCCTCCTGCGGCGGCGGGCTTCGGGGCATCATGGTGGGCTAAGTAGCTTGCTGGCAGTTGAAAGTTGAGTGGGTCGTGAAGATTAAGTGCGTGGGTCCTTTGCTCTTGGGGGGGGCTCTTTTCTTCTTTTCCCCCTTTCTCTTTTTTCGTCTTCTTCTTCTATCCCCCTCGATTGCAGGGACGGGAAGGCATAGGACAAGAACTTTCTACAGCATAGTTCAGGTCAGGGTTTCGGTTGGCATACCGTCTTTGTTTTAAGGGGACTCCGAGAGAGGCGTTCGGTTGAGGGGGCGGTCAAGAAATCCACCCAATTATGAGGCGTCGTCGGTTGTGGATCTGCAGATCAGCGGGCGGTTTTATTGGAATCCTATGCGCCTTGTCTGCCAGTAGCTTTGTTTAGGCACAAAGCACCCCCATATTATAAAGAGCCCATTATAAATCACGAGCATCAAAACATGAACAATCATTTATCATGTTAGATCAGATGGAGAATGCCATGTAAGCTGAAACTGGACCTGGCAACACTCCAGATTGATATAATATGCGATCAGGTGCGTCAACCACCCTCCCTGCCGACAAGATATATGAAACTATCCAGCTAATAACGCGAGTAGCGAGTGTGTCACTGTGTGCTTGCATTGAGATCGAAGGTGTGCTTTTGAAAGAAACCCTTCCCCCACCCTCTCATCCCGACCAATATGAGCCTGGGCTGGTATCAAATAATCGTGTTAGTGGTCGATATGGTACTCAGAGATTGGGTCCATGTTCGACCCAGTTCTCGTGTGCCCGCCGCCCCCATGTTGAGGTTGAGGTCTGTCTGTGCTCCCCGTGCTCTGGGGTGAGATGAAAGGCACTGAATGAAGACTTTCAGTACGGTCACTGGCCAGCTCCGAAGGTGGGTAAATATCATGAGGGGTATTTTGAATCGAGTTCATATTATTGTCCCGACCCTGCGTATCAGACGGAAGCTCATACTTGTGAGCCGAGTCGCTGTGCAGCTCAGGTTTGAACCCCTGCCACCCGGACTGTGTGTTTGGAAAGTCGGGGCTATACATAGGCGGCGGCGACTGCTGTGTCGGTAGTACCTCTCGCTGCGCAACTTGGGGAGATACCTCCGACTGAAGTTCGCGTTGCTGCTTGGTCTTCTTACGGCGAATGAACCAGATTGAGAAGATGATCGCAGCTATGATTGGCACGCCGAGACCAACACCAACACCAATGCCTATCTTAGAGCCGTTAGAAAGACCACCGCCGGAGCCTGAATCAGACGTCGACGATGTGGCGGTTGGTAGCGCCGTTGGGTTGAAGGAGATTGTTCCTCCAACCGTAGTAGGTAGCAGTGCGATCTGGTTCAGAGTAGGCTGTCCACTGGCCGGGTTCGAAATCAGCGCCGATGCTGCGTCGCATGTGCAGTCTTCGTGTTTGATCTCAATTTCATCTTTGTGCTTGGCGCACCCTGAGAATAGATCTATGTCGTCCCCGTCACATCTTGCCAGCGCAACCCACTGTTGGTCGGGATACCCTGCCTTGTGTGGACATTTGGACGCTGTATAAGTCGGATCCGTACAGCCAGTGATGTACGTGACGGATGCTATTCCCTATCAGCCTCAACGCTGATAATTATATTGAGTCACTAGGCAAAGGGGAGCTTACTGTCATTGTCATAGCACACATTGGTGGACAAGCAGAAATCGCCCTGGAAGCAGCAGGCCTGCGTCCCCGCAACTTCAGCATTTCCACAGGGAATGAACTGCCGATCTGAGATTTGACCCTCTCCGTAATAGCAATCCCCATTCGAGATATAGAGGTCTGCGTCGCTCATGATGAGGGTACTACGCTTCGGTGCTTACACGGGATGTCACCTAGAGAATTACGATAAGAACGTGCTCAATAGCTGGGATTTGGACATTGAAAGTAGAAAGGAGAGGATGATGGAGAAAACGGTGAGTAAAGACGCGAGTGAGCTGATGTTTAGGGCATGCTATGCTATGGGTGAATCGTATGGTAGGGACTATGCTCACCCAAGAGCTTGCCAACATCGTTACATCGTATACTACCTATGACTATGGTTCGTTGGTTACTTCTGCTTATCTTCTGCAGGCTGCAGCCTACTTCTGCTTACATGCAGCTACTTGGAAGCCTCATTAGGCAATGATCCTCGATGGCAGTCCTACATTGCTAAAAGACCGACAAATGTGTATGGATGTCAAGCGACTAGAGAGGAACACCACATCATGATTGGTCCAAAGTAAGGCAAAGCACCTCGCGTAGGGAGACATTTTCGAGCTATACTCGCATTAATCAGCATTATGGTGTGTCAGACAGGTTCCAGGAGGGAGGACGAAGGTTCGCGGCCCTTTGCCCCTTTCTCCAAGTGAGATCAAGTCATCTAAAGTCATCATCCTAGCATACCTACATTTCCAGGGCGAGCCTGAATCGATTTTATGGACAATAGACTGAAAAAATCATTTTCCATGGGGCGACAATTGGGTTATAGATACATCGTTCGGAAAATGCTGGCTGATTGATGTTATATCAAGAGTGCACATGTGACCCCAAGATGACCCCAGGAATTTACCAGGCTTACATATGATCGGCAGCCTTAGGCTTGACGTACATAGCAGCACGGGCGGAGTTCCGTAACCCAAGATCGGATTGCATATGCAACCCAACTACTAGACCAATCAATCGAAGCCACTATCCCAATGTCACCATTGGTTACATCGATTTTTGCGCGAATAGTTGGAGGGGATTCTATTCAGACACATGTAACTTTTTGATACTCGGTGTTGATAGTTCGGTCTAAGGATGAATTCTCGCTCAAGGTCGGGACGATCTGCCGTCACCATCAACGACCATACTGCCTTGAAAACGTGATATAATGAAAATTATATTGCTGGGCCACCAATAAAACCTACTACCGCCCACGCCTCCTAACAAACAGGCGGTTAGACACTATTGATTTGAGTAGATATGTTACCGAATTCGATTGTCGATCGATGCCGGAACTGAGTAACAAAGTCGTTGTTATAAAGCCTTTTCACACCTAGTCACTACATGCCATGTTGGTAACGACGAATCATTTCCAACTCAAGAAAGTCTACCGAATATCAACTTGTAACACCATCCCTAAGCGCTTCGCTATCGTACCGGTCCTGCATGTGGCTAGCCCGAATAAGAATATATTGGTCTGGAAATTGCCTAGCTGCCTTGTAAGGAACGTTATAGTTGGCAACGGCGAAGGCGTGGGCATCGCTGTCTGTGGTGGTCGGCAGATAAGACGGAACCTAGGACTGTAGAAGGCTAGCCAGGCTCATAAAAGCAGCCCTCTAACGCCCGGCATGTCAGAGCAATTATACCATGACGTTGATGTGAACGAATAGATGTTACCATACCACACGGTTAGGTATTATCTATACCAAAAGTCTTAATCCTATCATCGCAACAGCCGTAAGTCAAATGTCCTCAGTAGTGCGATCTCCAATTCTATCATTTGGCCATGGTGGGAAGTGATAGCAGCCATTCTCCATGACACATCATCATATGTTCGGCGTGAAAGTCTCTCGATTGTAGGGCTACCTATATAAGTGGAAGCCTACCCCCTGTGGCCCCTGACAAGTAGCTGGGAAGCTAT